CGTACTAGTCGTATCATTCGTGATAGTGTTAGTTTCCTTAGTTTTGCCAGTAGTCCTCCTCTTATCCCTCCTCCTCCTCCTCCTCCGCCTCCTTCTCCTTATCCTCTTCCTCCTCCTCCTCCTCCTGCTCCTCCTCATCCTCCTCCTGCTCCTCTGCCTCCGCGTCCTCCGCATCCTCCTCCTCCTCCTCGGCTTCCTCGTCTCGTCGCTGTGAAGGCTCCGAGTTGCACAGCTGCTACCTCGAACCCTTACGTGGGAAAGCCTCCTTGGAAAGGTTTGGGATGGCTTCGGAAGGTTTGCGAAGTCTTCTGGAGTTTAGGATGGGGCTCATGGGTTGTCAGGGCGGTTCAAAAGTCAGAAGGCTTCGGAGCTTGGAAGGCTTCGGAGGGTTTTCAGAGGGGGGGGAGGGGGGCACGGCAGCTTTCGGCAGTCTTGGGAGGGGTTCGGAGATTCCGATGGGACCTTGGGGGAGGGCGGGGAGGAGGAGGGGGGGAGAATGAGGGGAGGAGCGAGCAGCGAGGGTGGAGCAGGGAACAGGCAAGTGGGGACGAGGGGGGAAGGGGGGGGCGAGGAACGGGGGGCCTGGGGCGAGCAACGAGGGACGAGGCAGGAGGAGGGAGGAGGGAGCAGGCAGGAGGGAGCAGGCAGGAAGGCCTGGGAGAGGGAGGAGAGGGAGCACGGGGAGGATCGGATCTGACCAGCCCCGCCCGGCGGGCATCGTCCAGGAACCAAATCGCCGCCGAGGAGAGAGCGGAGGGCCAGAATACAGACTGGAGTGGCGCGGACGGGCGGCGCGCAGCGGGGGGCAGGGTTTCGAGGCAGCTGCGGCAAGTGCACAGCACGAGAAGCGCCGCAGGTGCCACGAGACGAGGTAAGGCTGCGCCAGCGCTCCTCGCAGGCGGCGCGGCACGCTGCTGGCAGCGCGCAGCGGGGGGTGGCAGGGGGGGAGGCTTCTTAGAAGTAGGTTTTTTATGTGTGGTCGAAGTATTGTTTATGTTTTATGGTTTAAATTGTTTACTTCTCATTGTTCTGAGTATTGCTTGTTTTCTTGTTTGCTTGGGCTTTCTTCTAATTGTTCAAATGTCCAAACGGAGCAATTATTATGGTTTTAGATGTTGTGTACTTTTATGGTATTGGGCATTTTCGATCGCGGCGATGAACAGGTGGTGGGAGTCAGCGTGCGAGAGAAAGCAGCACGCGCCCCATGTGGTCTTGAGACGGATGGTAGAAACACCAAAGAACCGACGCAGAAAGCGGCTGCCAGGAGGCAGGAGGTGACGGACTCCACAGCACAATCCTGCGTAAGCGATGTTAGTGGACCTTCTAGAGAATGCTGGCATTTGACGGCGAGCTGCGTAGCCGTCCGTGATGCGTTCCTCTACCTCTACCCCTGAGGGGAGGATGCTGCATGTAAAGGAGTACGCATGCCACACATTGACTGCAGGACCAGAATTCAGAAGCTCCTCTGCGACATGTCTGCTGCCGTCGATTCCGACAGGCCGTGCTCCAAACCCAAGGGCAGGCCACCCTGTCCCGGGAGGCGCGAAAGAAGGCAGGAATTCCCGCGGCGCTGGCGAGCTCCACTTTCCCCGCATCACTGAGCGGCACGTACACACTGCCGGCCACACCTCCTGTGACTGGGATCGGTGCAGCAGCTGCTCTGCCCACGGCGAGAGAAAGGTTGCCGTTCGCGATGCCTGCTGCAAGAGTCGCGGTCGTAGCGTCGTGCCCTTTGCCCCTTGCGCCGAGGTTCAGCCGATTGCCGGAAAGCAATCCGAATCCCATGGCTGGGGCGCCGGCTGCGGCAGCGTGCGCACGGTTCAGCTGATCGAAGAATCCCAAACACGAGGCTGCCACCTCCGCTGCCGTTGGCGCGCGAAGGTTGGTCTCGTCGAAGATCACCGCGGCGCCAAGTGCAACTGCGTAGCCAGCGTGCCCCACCGTGGCCAAGGGGCCCTGCGCCAGGAACGCGCTGCTGCGGACCACGTTGGGGCTGCAGGCGCACCCGGAGTATCACAGCCGGGGGAGCAGATCCCTGGGACTGCTGGACGCGCGCGCGGTGTCGACAGTGTTCCGCGTCCATGCCTCGTCGAAGGGCCCACCGTTCGCCCCTTCGGCGAACGTGATGGCAGCAGGACCGAGCCCAGGACCAGGAGTGGGAGGAGGAGGAGGAGGAGGAGGAGGAGGAGGAGGAGGAGGAGCAGGACCGAGCCCAGGACCAGGAGTGTGCGCGCCGCGGGCCCCCACGGCGCGTCGCTCGCTGCCACTGCTGACGAGGTCTCCAGGGTCCTGCTCCTTCTTCCCTTGAAGTAGGTGACGGCGAGAACCTGGTTCAGCGGCTCCCCGTCGCTCGCATGCCACTTGGCTCCCGTCAGTGCCGGAGAGGTTGACCCATCCTCAACGAGCCGAAGAGGGCGAGCGTCATGAAACGAAGCCGGAAACATGGTTGCGGAACTGTGCGGACGCCGCCCGACCAGGCAGCACATGCTTCGCTGACCAATTGAGGTCATTCTCGATCGCGGCTGACTCACGCCTGGAGTTCGTCTTGGTGGCATGGCAGGCCGCCCATATGCATGTCGCCGACTGTGAAACAGAGAGCTCGCTGGAGACCCACTTGGCCCGGATGATTGCACCTGCCGACGACTGCCAGCACAGCCAGTCTGTAAGAGGCTGCGCCGCAGCGTCATTTGCTCCTGCGACCGTGAACACACCGGACCGTATGCTGTGCCCGATCAACGATGTGGTGATGCACATCGCATCGGGGACGTCCGTTACGAATGCCAACATGCTGAGACTTGCTAAAAATCCAGCAGAAACAGCGCGGGGATTGATGATCACGATACCGAAATTCGACGAATTGAGCAGGCTCGACATGGCCAGCTCATCCTTGGCCGGGTCGGGTGGTGAGGCCGGGCTTGCTTCCAGGACTGCATTATCGTCGAGAAGCTTCCGAAAACGTTGCTAGCAAAAAGAAGGAAAATATGCATCAAGGGGGCACTGATCATAGTCAGGCGCTGCACGCAGGTCAACGCACGCGACGTGTTGGCCCGCGCGGATCGGAGCACAAGCCCCCGAAGACCAGACAGCCCTGCAAAGTGCACGAGAAGACCCAGTCCAGCCACAAGAGCTCCCACAAGGCGATTGTCGACGCCTCGTCCCTGGAGGCCTCGGACCGAAAGCAGAGCGCAGAGGCCTGGAAGGTGACGCACGCCCACGGGCCCACGGGACGTACACCCTGCGAAATGCTTAAGAAATCATGGGTTAAGAAATTCATAGTCTCAGAACTTGAATAAAAACCCAACATTTTCATTAAAATCTTAGGATTTGCATTGAAACGTTAAGAATAATCGAGACTCTGGCCGAAAACTTGGGTTTTCTTAAGCATCGCCTAAGGTGTATACAGACGCCATGATGACCACGCGCGAGCGCGCGTGCGCGCCGGTCAGCTGCGTCACGCTGTTGACGGCCGTGTTCGTCATGAACGGGAGGGGCGCGCCAAGACTTTACGAGAAAACATGAGCACCATCGCTGTCGCCCCTGCCGTCGAAAGTGACTGGACGAGGGAGAGGCCGGCGGCTCTGATCAGGGCGGAGACCGTGCCCGAGAGAAGAGCAGCACACGCACACACACACACACACACACAGACACACAGACACACACGCATTGGCAACGGTGAGAATCACACCTGCAACACCATCCACGAAAGTCTGCACAGCAGTGCTGATCGTGGACGCCCTGAACACGTGGGCTAAATCGGGTTTCACGCTGTGGAGCATGGAAGGCATCACGCCTAATTCTAGATATAGTCGTCGATGTTATGTGATGCTGCTCCAGATCTTTGTTGTGCGAGTGGACTGAGTGCGAGTATATGTGGTTTAATTGTTTCTTTTGTTTCTTGCTTACATTCGGAGGCTGCTTCCTAGGAGGCCGCTTCTCAAAGGGCGCCAGCCTTACAGCTACAGAGAGGGCCCGCGCCGTCCAAGAAGCAGCCCCCTTCTAAGAAGCCTCTCCCCCCTCCCCCTGCCCCCCCGCTGCGCGCGGCCGAGTGGAGCGCGGTGCTCGGGTGAGCCCTCGCCGCGAGCCTCTGCAAGGAAGTGTTCGCCTGCGCAGGCCCGGTGGAGAGGAGGCGTGGGATAATCCGAAATCTCCCAGGTGTGGTGCTCGCACACGTGCCAGCATCGTGCGGGCCGCTGTACGTGGTACTGCGCATGGAATGTCGCGTGCTGCAGCAGCGTACCCGCACTGCAGCACAGTGAGTGTATGGACGGTGTCTCGTATGGGCAAGTCTGGTGTTGGCACTGCCAGTAAGGCTGTACTGAACTGGACGCCGCCAAAAAAGCAGGAATGTAGTGCGAAACACTCCGTATCGCACCAACTGGGGCAGACCTCGCCCCAGAGGTCCTGCCTCGGCTAAGGGTACTCTTCTGGTGCAGCCCCGCTCTGCAGGCAGACGTGCGAAAAGCTGTCATATCCGAGCCAAGTGGGCCAACAAACAAAAAGCGCGAGATTCTCCAATAAGAAACAGTTCGCGGCCGCGCAATGCGATTCGATGACGATTACCTGATGCAACTGAAAGCGATGCCCCGATAATCCAGGTGGTGGCGCCCATGCCCAAAGACATGGCGGCGCACGCTTGGATGTGGGCAGGAGCACGCTTGGCGCGCGCGCCAGGCTGGGCTGCGAGACTGGCGGTGGCGTCCACAGCTGCGCACAGGGACGCCTGCCTGGACGCGGGCACGAACACCGCCGGCGAGAGCCTCAGGCTGGGGCGCGAGACTGGACGCCGGGCCGGGCGCGAAGCCGGCAGCGAGGCTGGGAAGCCTAGCTTCGCGCTTCGCGCTGCGCGAAGCTAGGCTGCGCGAAGCACTTCGCGCTCTCGCGCCGCCCCCGAGTGCAGAAGAGGAGTGGCGCGCTGCACTGGAAGCGAGGGCGCTCGCGCGCGACCTGCGCGGGCGGCTCGCGCGCGAAGGTCGGCGCGGCCGACGCCGCCTTTCTTCCGCCGCTCGCGAGGCAGGCCCAGACCTCTGCACCAGCCTGCTGCGGCTTTTTCGCTGGGCATCTTTTCTTGTCACCCGGGGAGCGTCGCCGCTGGCGCGGCGCCTCGCCAGGACCGGCAGCGACCGCAGGTCGTCCCAGCGCGTCCGCCCGTGCCGCCGCGCGCAGGAGGCCAGCATCTGCATGTCCGCGTCCGCCTGCCAGCGAGGGGACGCGAAGCTCGAGGAGCACAAGAAACGGCATGGCCATAAGCCTCTCGTAGGAGAACGGCGCCCATGCACCGTACCATGCTGAGACTCCCTCCAGGCCCTGCTCCAACGCGGTGCGGTGCATAGTTTCTCGGTTCCGAGAGACGAGCAAGTATGCACCGTACCCGTCCTGGGTCGGGGGTTAGGTCGGGCACGTCCTCCTACAGGCGGATCTTGGAGGGAAACTAGAGGATACTCCAGAAATGCTCCCAAATAGGTTTTGAAGAAAATAGTCCAAAAATCGTCCACCGACTACGACTACTTTTGAAACTGTGTCTGAAGACTCCTCCTGTAGATGACTACCGACCAGACCACCCCAACCCAACCCGAAGACCCGAATTTGACCCGAATTTCGGGTTGGGGGGGGTACGGATACCATGTGTTTTTTCAACGTTCCCGGACCCCCCCCCACTGGAAATGGAAGGCAGATTGAGGGCTTCGGGTTGGGTTGGGGTGGTTTGGTGGGTGGTGAGTAGAGGGGCATGCCCGACGTAAGTCGAGGGTCGACGGCGCCTCGGGGCACGCCAGCAGGGCACGGTGCGCAGGAGTCGCCCGCAGACCTCGGAGCTCCGCGCGGACTCTGCGGATCCGCGCTGGCCCCCCCCCTGAAGGGGCCCACAAACACACAAATAAATACACACAAATAAAAGGATTCCCCATATTTTCCCATATTTTCTGGGTTTTGTCTTCCGCCCCAGTCCCAATATTTTCTCATATTTTCTTCCTGGGGATCGACGATTAATTGTGTCTGTGTGTTTCTTCCCCTCCTGACCCCCGCCCCCTGTCGCGCGGGGGGCGCGCCAGGATCGGCGCCGGAGGCGCCGCCAGGGGAGCCCAGCGCAGATTTAGGTCGGGCATGTCCTCCTGCAGGCGGATGTTGGGGGCGAAGAATGAAGAATAGTCAAAACATACTCCACCAAATATCAAAAGCACGATTCATAAAAAGATGATAAGAATCGTCCCCAGACGATGTTTTGCCTATTTTTGAACACTCCGCCTGCAGAGGGTCACGCCCGACTTAAAGCGCAGATCCGATAACCCCGCGCGGAGCTCCGCAGGGGGATGCCAATGCCGCTGCTTCGGCCCCTCGAGAAGCGGAGCGCCAGGGCGTTTTGCGCGACGGCCGCGGCGACGACCCCGCGGTCGTCGCGCAGGGCCTCGACAGGATGACCCCAAGATCGATCGAAAAATCGAGTCGGCAATCGAGATGCGTCGAACCGCAGAAATCGGCAGGCGGGTCGGCGGGCATCGAGATCGGCGCCCAGCGGCCCAAGCCGAGGCCTGCACGAGGCAACACCCCCGCAGAAGCCGAAAGCCAGAGTCGACGTCAGACCGGCAGATCGAAATCCTCAAAACCGAATCGGTCCGAACCGACAGGGTCGACATTTGGAGGCGGCCCAGGGGTCTGAACTGGTTGGGGTACCAGAGTATCTATCGGTCAGGACGGAGGGATGAAGCCACATCCGCTCGAAGTCGTTCCCCAGATCCCTCCCGGGATCCATCTGGCGCAACTTTCCTCCCCGGATCCGACTCTGAAGGTCCGGGGCGCCCGGCGCCAGCCCCCGAAGCGGTGAGAGAAGAAGAAGAAGAAGAAAAAAAAAACCAAACAAAAACAAAGAAAAACAACAACAAAAAAACAAACAAAAAAAAAAAAAAAAAAAAAAAAAAAAAAAAAAAAAAAAAACGCCTCGAGCCGGCCCCCCCCCCCCCCTGCTCGCCAGAACCAGTGCTGGGCCACCTCAGACGATCGGGGGCGCGCAAACGTGGATTACTCGATCCATGGAGTTGGCGCACGGTCGCCATCATCCATGGATCGGGGAGGCGCCATCCCCGAAATGCGGCCCGTGCCGCCTCCTTTGGCGGTGGAAGTCCGCGATTGCCCATGGAAACGGCACCCGTCGCTAATCCACGCCCCCCTGATCCTTGTTTGCGAGGCGAAGCGAAGCAGCCATACGCAAAGCGCGCGTGGGCAAGACAATTGGCGAGCGTGCGAGCTACGCCAAACGCGTTCGCTGGCGGACAGGAGGCGCCAAACGCGCGACAAGACAGACAGCCAGCCGGCTCCAAAACGGCTCCCGCCTTGGAGGCGTGACGCAGCGCGCAGCCGTTCGCCGCCACGGCCTCGAGCACGAAGGAGCGCTCGGCGAGCAGCGCCCCCGAGGCAAACTGCAGCGCGAGGACGTCCTGCGCCGAGGCCGCGAGCACCACGCCCGGGTCGGTCCTCAGCGGCTCCGCCGCGTACTCCAGGGCGCGGCCTCGTCATCGTCGTCGTCGTCGTCCTCGTCCTCGTCCTCGTCGTCGTCGTCGTCGTCGTCGTCGTCGTCGTCGTCGTCGTCGTCGTCGTCGTCGTCGTCGTCGTCCGTTTCCTCCTCCTCTTCCTCCTCCTCCTCCTCCTCCTCCTCCTCCTCCCCCTCCTCCTCCTCCAGAGGGTTCTTGGCTGGAGTACAGCAGGAACTCGACCACAAGGAATCTTCCACAAGAAACCCAACCCTGAGACCCTAAAACGTCAATCGATCTGTGGTGTGGGAACGTCACGCTTTCCATAGCAAAACCATCGAAACCCAAGAGACCAAGGGCACCGTGGAGGCAAGCCATGGATGTCCTTTGTATGTGGGACCTGCTTTAAAATAGGAACATACCGTAGACGGATCTGCTCTTCCTCCGACCCTGCACTGCGACGAGCGCACCGGCCGAGTTGTCTTTATCAAAAACAACAAAGCCGGGTAATACCTAAACCGGGTAACAAGCCAACCATCAGATCCGGTCAAAGAAACAGCAACGACCAGAGCAAAAAAACTGCACGGATTTTTCTTCGACGCGAAAAAACTGCACTGCATTGTTTCTGCAACTGGTCGCGGAAAAACTGCAAACAAGCCCCACAGACCCGGTAACAAATGGTCCAAACCCAAAAAAATGCAACAGGCGGAAACTTTCAAGACAGACAACGTGCGGCGGGTGCTGCATTGAACGCGGAAGCCTGAAAAACTGCATTGCAACAAAGTGCGCGTTTGTGGCCTCGAACTGGTCATTTCCTGTTACCCCGTCTGCTGTTACCCCGTCACCGCTTCCCTGAGTATAGACGCATCCACCCCGAATGCGTCTATAGACGTAGCGGCACCCAATGTGTCCGAGACGCTTGTGACTAGAACGTGAGAACGGTATTTGGCCCAGGTCCGAGATTTGGGTGTTCTAAAAGAAAATAGACTGGGCCCTCCAAATTCTTGGAAACGACAGGGCCGTTGTTGTGTCCGTTTTCGTTTTGCCGTTGTTGTCCAGTATTGGCGCCGCTATTGCTCCCAACTCCGTCGCCGTTGGTGCTTTCGGTTCCGGCTCCAGCTTCAATCCCGAAGCCGTTTTCGCCCGCTTCGGCGAGCCATTTTTCATTTTCCATTCTCAAGAAAAGAATCCTAAGAGACAGAAAAAATGCCTGGCGAAGGACCCAACCCTATGCACCAGCACATGTACTTGTGGGCATCGAGGTTATACGCACCACGTTTTTTCAGCTGTGACCAGGCTCGCGCAGCACGAGCTCAGGTTCTAGCAGCCGCACAGCGGCGGCCGCGGCTGGTGGCAGGCGCAAGCCTAGGGGAGCCGAGCGGCAAAGGGACGAGCGAGCCAAAAGGGCCGACTCGCCGCCGCCAGCGAAGCCCCCAAACATCACCGAGCCTGCGCCTTCGGCTGCACCTCCTTGGGCGGCAGCCCGAGCTTGATCCTTTCGACCTTCTCGAGGCGATGTTGCAAACCACGAGCGCTCTCTGGTAGCCTGCATTCTGCGGACAAGCCTCTGTGCTTGCCTCCAAAAACTCTCGCATAGCAATGACAGCACGTGCAAATACGACATCCAGAGATGGTCGCGAGAACATGCTCGCCGCTCGCCACGCCTGGAACCCCAGTGCCATCACCAGCGGACGACGACGCAGCGAGGGGGCCAGAGGGGCACTCGAGGGCCACCGACCGAGACCGATCGGGCGGGCTCGAGCGGCGAGAAGAAACAACACAACCTTGCGAGGCAACCAGACTACTGGCCGCTCCGCGAACACTGGACAAATCGGCGGGCGCACTCTCGCCGCCGCGGGCTCCCCCCAGGGCTTCTGCAGCGGGGCTTGGAGGAGACCTGAGGAGCTCCTAAGGGAGAAGCGAGGCAGGCCCATCCTCAAAACTCGCGCCACCAGCACAACCCAGGCCACACGGGGTTTCTGCAGCGGGGCCCACGGGAGCGCGCGCGCCAGGTCCGACTGGGGCTTCTGCAGCAGGGCCCACAGGAGCCCCACTAGCACTTGCAGCATCTTTTTCAGCCGATGCCGAGCGCACAGAACCGCTCGAGCTCGCTCCAGAAGCTGCCGACAACAGGTAGTCGATCTTCTGCTGGGCTGTCTTGAGAACCTTGGCCTTCGGTAACTCGGTGCTGCCGTCGCCCGCGGCCTCAGCAGCTGTCGCCTCTTGCTCGGCCTGCGCCAACGCGGCGAAGGCCGCCGCCGCCGCCGCGGCCGCCGTCGCCCCGGCAGCTCGGCCAGGTCGCTTCTTCGAAGTACTGCCAGAGTGCGACGGGGCATACGGCTTGGGCACGCAAGCCTTGGCCCAGGAGCGCGCTTTGATGTCGCTGCTGCACGCGGCCTTGGGGCAGCGCAAACAGTGAATACTACCATTCGGGGTCTCGATGACCTCGCGAGCCGTGAGAAACAACTGAATATTGCTGGCCTGCTTCGTGACCTTCTCGCCCGAGATGCCAGCTCTGCTATCGGCAGCCATGCCGCCAGCAATCGAAACCCAGAAGAACGCGGCGTCGAACATGGTCTGCCTCGCCTGGGCGATCTGCCGATAGGCGTCGGGGGCGCCGACTTGAGCAGCAATAAACTTGGCACGCCGATCAGCTTCGATGTTGCCTCTGCGGGCTCTCGCCGTGACCAGGCCCTCTTGCACGTGCCGAGCAGAAGCGCGCGCTTTGACCTTGACAACTGCGAGGCCGTCTACGCCGAGCCCCCCGAAGTCCTGCACTGCATGCCAGACGCGAACCCACAGCTCCGCCCAGGCTGCCCTGCTGCTCGCAGTGGCCTTGGGACCACGAATACTGATGCCATTCACCACAAACTCAGTGTCAAAATGAGCTCCCACTGGTGGAATGGCGCTCTTGAGAAGCAGGAGAAGCGCCAACAGCTCGCCGCCGCCAATGGACGGCAAGGCGCCAGCCAAAGGGGAGGCTAACGCACGCGTGAAAGACCTTGGCCCTGGGTCGATGTGATCGCCGCCGCTAGGCAAAACAATAACGGCACATCCTGCACAGGCAATCTTGGTTCCACCGTCGATGTAGGCTCCATCTGCGAACAAGTCGGGCTCTGCAAACGGCAGGCCCTCGCCGTAGCCCTTGATCCACTGCACGCGCGCCAGGAAGTCGTCGCCCGGCGGCCCCCGCTCCGTGAGCGGTTCTGGCAGCCACAACCTCTCGAGCAGAGTCCTGATCGTGATGGAGTCGCCCTTGTCCTTGAACACCCCCACTCCTCTGGAAGGGTCAAAGACGGCCAAGCGCCGCGACGCCCCATGTGCCCGCGCCAAGGTGCCCCATCCTGCAGGGACACAGCGAGCAGACCGAGCAAGAGCTGAGGCCTCCCGCACAGCGCCGCTCGTGGAGCCACTGACCGTCGACCAGGCACGATATGGCGCACCCAGCGTGACTGGGCGCCAACGTCCTCCCAGCCTCAGCGACCTTGGTGAAGCATCGACCCGACGCTACCCACCGCATGACCTGTGGTAGGAAGACTCCGCCAGCACCGTAGATGTCGTAGTGCGCGCTCTTGGCCAGCTGAGACAACTGCCACCGCTCGACGCCTCGCGCGGCAATCTGCTTGACCGCCCAGGGAGAGTGCACCGCCAAGTTGACCTTCTCACCCGCGCTGGTGACCCAATCAGTGGAGGAGCTGAGCGTGAACCCGATCCTCTGCAAAGTCGTCAATGCTGCTCCGAGCGGACCACGCACGTCGCCCCAGTGCTTGGTGACCCTCACGCCCCACCCGAAAGTAGACTGCAAAATGGACGTCGGAACCCACTCCCCCCATACAGCCTTGGCCAGCATCATGACAGGCCCCAGCGCGGCACTGAAGGTGGGGTCCAATGTCTCGGCCCCGAGAGCATCAGCACTGCGGTGGCATTATTGCCTGCTGGCCGCGGCCCCACGGCTCTAACCGTGATGGGGCGCATCCTGGACAACTCGCTGGGGTTGAGGCCAGTGCAGCTGGCGCCGTACATCGCCGCAGGATGGAGGCCTGTGAACGCAACCTTGGCCGCGGCAGCGCGCCCAAACCTCAGGCCCAAAAAGCTCTGCACCCTGCCGAGGCGAAGCTCGACGTTGGCGAGGCGTTGCTGCCGCAGGGCCCGAGCTGCACGTCGCCCCTCTGCATGATCGATGCCCAGGTTGCGTGCGCGACGAGCCCCTTGGACTCCAGCATTCTTGAGCAGGCGCCTCGGCACGTTGCTGCGCAAGCCTGGCGAGCTGCCAATGACCTTAGATTTCTCGACCGCGATATTGGGCTCAACGTTCTTCAGCTGCTGCATCAGTACACTAGTAGCGCCCACAAGATCGCCATGCACTCGCTCGGCGCCGCCCGAGCGCTGGGGCACCAGGTCGTCGACCACGACGGCTGGCGCGACGGCCCCGAGTCGCGCGACCATCTCGTTGAGCGGCTGCAGCAACATGAGCTTCATGAAGCCCGTGGCGAACGCGTCTCCAGCGAGCACCGTCTGGGAGACCTGCAACTCCTGCGAAAAGCACCCGTCGAGGTGAAGCACCCTCGGCTCACGGTACAGAGACATCTGCAGCTTGGCCAGCCAGAGCGGAAAACCGTACTTGATGGCTGCCTGCACGAGGCACCGATGCGAGACCTGCTCGAATGCCTTCCGAAGGTCCAGCAGGATGCTGGCAGAGGCGCAGTCTTGATCGGGATGTAGCCCGGCCATCATCGCAATCCACTCTGATCTCGTCTGCTGCTGCCACACCGCTCTGTCACATGAGCGCCCTGAGCACGCCCACCAGTAGGGCCTGTCACTGGCCTTCTCCCACTGCTGCACGATGGGTCTGCGAAGCCTGCCGTGAACTCTGACCACCGCTGCCGCTGCCAACAACGCGATGGGCCGAAGGCCTCCACCTGCCTTGGGGATGAAGGCCACCTTGGTGATGAAGCTGGGCCAAATCTGCTTGCTGCCCGATAGCCATCAGCAAGTCAATGACGGCCTCGGCGCCTAGGTCATCCATCAGATTGAATTCACATGGACGAATGCTGTCAAAATTGGACCCAGGCCGAGGCTTGAAAGACGAGATCACTTTCCGCAGCTCAGCCACAGAAGGCATGTCGGGGCGCTCTCCGAGGTCCTCAGGCCAGTGCAGACGATGCCTCTCGGGCTCGAGCTCCCTCGAGGCACTCGCAGCTGCGTCCGGACGCGTAGCCTCGCTCAACAGCGGGGGGCTGTGGCTGCGTCGGGGAAGGTCACCCTTTCCGCCTCCAACTGTTGGTTCAGCCTCATGCGCACCACCACGTGCTGCCTGGACTGGCAGGGCCTGGGGGGCGACGATGCCCCAGTAAATGGACCACCCGTCGACCAGCGCCTGCAAGCTCTGCTGAATGGTGAGCGGCGCCAGACCAACTGCGTTGGCTGGCATCGCATTCCAAGACTGAGCCGTTTTCGCGACAGCATGGATGGCGCCTGAGCCCGTAGCGACAGAGTGCAGCACCCAGTCGTTGCAGTCCGTGGAGGCTTGATCAAGATCCGTCTTGACAATTGCCTCAGACTAGCTGAAGCTGAAGCACGCCGCACTGAGCGCATCAAGCTGACTCAGGGAGAAATCCTGCGCTCCGCTGGCGACGATGCTGACCACGCCCTGCAGCTCCGCGAGGTCGGACGGCGGCCTGCTCGCCAGCCTGCCCAAGGCGCGCAGAGCTCCGAACCTGGTGAGCGGCCGCTCGATCTGCGCTGCGTCTCGGAGACAGATAGCAGCCGACCTGCACCAGGTCGAGGCTCGAGTGACGCGCGGCAGCCTAGGCGGCGACGGCGCCGTGGCTGGGGTGGCTGAAAGCCTGGGCCGTTCCGCGCGGCCTGAGTACCTGTCGAGGTCGTGGATTAGCCCGCACGCGTCAATCATGTTGACCTCCACCTGCCTGACGACGAAAGCCTGCCACATGCTGTCTAGGTATGTCATGCGCTCGAGCTGGTCGCGAACGGCACGCCAAGCTGGGCCATGAATCTTGCGCAGAGCAGGCCAGCGGCCTGGGCAGAGGCAGCCGCTTGGCCGCACGCATGACGGCGACCTTCTGGCGCCTGCTCGGGCCGAGCAGCTCGAGCGCAACTGCGTAGCGCAGGCTGAGGTCCAGCCCGTGGGCAATGCTGGCTTTGGCCCCGCGGCGGAGCCTCGAGACCACAGAGTAATCGATAGCCCTGCCTGCAGGTCTGCACGTGGCCTCCGCGGGCGCGCGCCGCCTCTAGCCAGCCAGACTCTCCCAAGACCGACGGCTCCATGATGAAGTCCCCGCACACGATGAAGGGCCTGTTGGCCGCCTGCAGGGCCTTGCGCACCGCGCAGAGAGCGTCGGCATTGCTCTGGTCGAGCCCGGCGCTGGCCTCCAGATACACGTTGGCCCACGTGACGTCGCCTCTACAGACGCCATTGAGGTGGGAAATGATGGCGCGACCAGGCCCCAGCACAGTTTGCTCGCCGAGCAGATCGAAAGGCCAGAGCCCGAGGTGCTGGGGCGCCATCGGCACACGGCCTCCAATTCCCTGGGAGCCAAAACCAGCGTTGATCGCTGGCGCAGCTTCCGAGACCCATCCGAGCCGTCGAAGCTGTCCTTAGACGTCCTGAGTGCGCCGCGAATCCAAGTGCGTCGCCTGAGCGGCAACGAAGTCGCAGCACCTGACAGTGGCCGCGCCAAGCAGGTTGGCGAACCTCGACCAAGCATGGCAGTTGACCGCGAGGCCAACCCACCAACGCCGTTGCTTGTCCGCCGTCCCGGGCATGAGAGAGGAAAGATTGCCACCTATGACCTCACTGAGGCCGCTACCCCAAGGTCTTGGAGTGCTTGGCGGCCCTGAGCGTGTCCAGTGCCTCCTGGAGCCTCTTCCTCCCGCTCTCGTCCGCAGCGCTGCCGAGAGGTCGTCCAGGATCCTCGCCCTCCATGAACTTGTCGGAATCGTCGCTGCCTGGATCGCCTGCCATGGGAGCATCAGCCTCGTCTGCGCCACCACCTGCGCCTGCACCAGGAGCGCCTGGACCTGCACCTGCGGCTGGCACAGCGCGGGCAAGCTCCGCCTCGGGATGCGGTGGGGCCGCGGCTGCAGCCATCTCGCCCAGAATCGTGACGAGGCTAGCCAGGACCTCAGCACCCGACTTGCCCTCCGTGTCGATGGGGGCGACCTGGTCCTTGACGGAGCGGAGCGTGTCCTCAGCCGTGGTGGAAGAATAGAGCTTCGCCGCCTGCTTCTTGGCCTGCTCGAGCTCCGCCTTGCGCTCGGCGAGGGCCCGATCCGCGTCTGCCAACGCCTCCAGAGCCTTGCGAGAGTTCTCCAAGAGGCGCTCACGCTTGGCTGTGGCGTCGGCGACGGCCAACAATGCTTGATCGACTGCCAGAGGGAGCTTCCGCGCCTCCGAGCCCAGGACGCCAACGGCTGCCGTTCGACGTGCCAGCTCGACCTTGTCTCGACTGCTGCGTGAAAGTCCGTCCTTGACGACCTCATGCGACTCCATGGCCATGGCTGCGTAGGCTGCAATCTTCTTTGGCGAGAACGCGAGGGTTGCGGGAGCAGCAGGCCCTCTGCCGTTAGGTCCGAGCCATTTGCCACCACGCCCTTTGCCGCCGCCGCCTTTGGGTCCCTGCTTGGCCCAGGGAGCTCCGAGATTGCCGCCGCCGACTGCCCACTTACCCCAAGGCTTGTGGTTGTCGTTCGCTGCTGGCACATTGCGGTCCGTCCACTTGCCCTTACAGCCAACCTTGATACAGAGTGAAAAATGTTATGGCGTGTAGTAACCGCACCGCACGCACTGCGAGCACTTCGCCATGAGAGCCAGAGGTTCCAAGCGAACAGACATTGGAACAGGACTGCGCACCCTCGGGCTGATGGGGGCAGGTGATGACCAGGGGCGGACCTGGCACCACAAGAAGATGAATCGCAAGCTCGGGAAACAGAGCTATCCCGCTTTCGCCTGGAGGCTTGCAGCCTCCCAAGCATGGAGTCTTGAGCCAAAGTGGCCACGGTTATATGCACCACATTCGGTGGAGCTCCCTATGGGGCCACGAAGCGTGTGAGGGGTGTGCCGCAATGGGCGCGGTGGGCGCATGCGAGCGCTGGAATTTGGGCCTTCGGTGGAGCTCCTTTTGGGGCCACGACATGAATCAGGGATGTGCCGACATGGGTGCAGTGGGGCATGCGAGCGCTGGCATCTGGGCCTCCGGTGGAGCTCCCTATGGGGCCACGAAGCGTGTCAGGGGTGTGCCAAGATAGGTGCGGCGGCCGCATGCGAGCGCTGGCATCTGGGCCTTCGGCGGAGCTCCCTATGGGGCCACGAAACGTGTGAGGGGTGTGCCAAAGTGAGGGGGGGGACAGGAAGAGGAGACGCAGGAGGAGGCGCAGGAGGAGCAGGATGGCCAGGAGCGGAGAGGAGGGACGCGGAGACCGTCTCCTCAGAGCGAGGACCCAACACCACAGGACGGCTGGGAAAAAACTGCCGCCTCCCAGACCCACTGGGGGCGCGGCAAGTCTGGCCCACGGCGGCGAGCACGACCTCCCGGTCGGCCCGGAGGTGCTCGGCGGCGTACTGCAACGCGTGGCCGTTGCCCCTCACCGCCGCCAGCACCACGCACCTATGCGCGTCCGGCCATTGGGCGTGGCTTAATGGGGGGGTCACAAATGGGGGGGTCAGAAAAGGTCCCCTTTCGTGCCCCTTTCGGGCCCCTCCAGAGCCCCAGGGGGCTCGTTTAGGTACCGTTTGGGTACCTTTTCGGCCCACCCTCGCCACCCCCCCATTTATGACCCCCCCATTACGCAGCGCCCAAGGCCATCGGCCTCGACCAGCCGCCGGCGGCCTTCTGACTGCCTCCTGCCGGCCTCTGGAAGCCCCCTCGGACGGCTCTCGGCGGTCCCTGGCGGTCTGCCGTGTCGCTCTTGGGCGGCCGTCGCTGGTCTCTCCGGCGGTCTGCGGCGCGGCCGCTGAGCAGCTGCGTTCAACAGAGGCCCACTGCCGAACTGGGGAAGAAGCAAAAAGGTACACCCTGCGAAATGCTTAAGAAATCATGGGTTAAGAAATTCATCGTCTCAGAACTTGAATTAAAACCCAACATTTCTATTAAAATCTTAGGATTTACATTGAAACATTAAGAATAATCGAGCCTCTGGCCGAAAACTTAAGTTTTCTTAAGCATCGCCTAAGGTGTAGCGACACCGCCACTCCCAAAACCCCTCCCGGGCTGCGGCCCGACCCGCACCTCGAGGCGCATCCGGCCGTGGCAACCGAGGGCCTCCCGGGAGGCCCAGGCAGGCGAAGGCGGGGCAAGGGCAGGGGCCTCGGTACCTTTTACCCCCACCCCTGGGCCGCGCGCCTGTCGCCTCGCAGGGCCTCCGAGGCGTAGCCGAGCACGAGGGCGTTCTGGGCCACCGCGCAGAGCACGACCTCGCGGTCGCCCGCGAAGCCCGCCGCGGCGCCCAGCAGCTGCATGCCGTCGCGGCGCACGGCGGCCAGCGCGCGCCGCGCGTCGTCGTCCTCGCGCCGCCCGGGCAGGAAGGCCCAGACCAGCCTCTTCCGGGGGAGCGGTGGCAGCGGTCGCGTGCTAGAGTCCAAGGGGGGAGCTGTCTTCGCGCCTCTCGCGCTCCCGCGAGGCGCGGGAGCGCGATCACCTTCGCGCTCTCGCGCCGCGGGGCCCCCCCCCCCCCCCCGGAACAGGAGGAGGGACTCGCGCCTCGCTCTGAAATCGCCGAGACCGCGAAGCGCGAAGCGCGAAGCGCGACTAACTTCGCACCCTCGGGGTGTGGCCCCGGCCAAAGAATCGGCCCCTGACGAAAAAGTGATCCTGGCGAAGGACCCAACCACATGCAGCTGTGAGTAACGCAATTGTTGGTATCGTCTTCGGTGGAGCTCCCTATGGGGCCACGAAACGTGTGAGGGGTGTGCCGACATGGGCGTGGTGGTGCCATGCGAGTGCAGCCACTGGGGCCTTCGGTGGAGCTCCCTATGGGGCCACGAAACGTGTGAGGGGTGTGCCGACATGGGTGCGGTGGTGCCATGCGAGCACAGCCACTGCGGCCTTCGGTGGAGCTCCCTTTGGGACCACGACATGAATCAGGGATGTGCCGACATGGGTGCAGTGGGCGCATGCGAACGCAGCCACTATGGCCTACGGTGGAGCTCCCTGTGGGGCCACGAAACGTTTGAAGGGTCTGCCGAAATGGGCGCAGTGGTGTCATGCGAGCGCAGCCACTGGGGCCTTCGGTGGAGCTCCTTGTGGGGCCACGCAACGTGTGAGGGGAGTGCCGAAATGGGTGCAGTGAGCGCATGCGAGCGCAGCCAGTGGCGCCTTCGGTGGAGCTCCCTTTGGGACCATGGGATGGGCGCGGTGGTGTCATGCGAGCGCAGCCACTGGGGCCTTCGGCCCGAAGCTTGTGAGGGGTGTGCCGAAACAGAAACATGCGGAGGGCAGAGACAAAGAGGGGGAGGAGGGAGGAGGGCGGGAGGAGGTGACGCGGGGCGCTGTCTCTTCAGAACGAGGACCCCACACCTCAGGACGGTTGGGAAAAACAAACCTGGCGGTGAGCCTTCGTGGGAGTCTCTGTGGACCTCCGCGGCCCTATCATGAACTTGATTTCGAAAGGATTCCGTCCAGATTCAGACCACCCCTCCTCACCCTTTCGTCCAGATTTCGTCCAGATATCTTCCAAATTTCGACCAAATATCGACCAAATGTCGACAAAATCCGACGAAACCCAGACGAGATCCCCAAAACAGCAAGGAATTCTGGGACCCTCTGAGGAGCCCATGAAGGACCACAAAAGGACTGTCAATGTTGTTAATGATGGGCCACGCCTGCATCGCAGAGCGGGGAGGGCTGGGGAGGAGCATGCCACTCCTTGACAAAAAAAATTGCCCCGATTTCTGGCTTCCGCGATCGCCGCGGCGATCTCCAAAACCGACCTGGAGGATTGGTTCGGGGTCGGATATGCAGCACAGAGATAAGGAGGATGGCATCGGGGTCGGATATACAGCAACAGCGCTATGCATCGGCGATGCGGCGCGATCCTCTGACCCCATCTACTCCGACCCCATCTGGAAGGCCCAGATGACCCCACCACCCACCCCTGCCGCTGCCACCCCGGGGGGCAGCCTCTTCACCTCGTCGGAGGCGCCCCCGAGGGAGTCGAAGAAGCGCGAGACGGCCACCGCCCGCAGCACGCTCCGGGCCACGGGCATCTCGGGGCGGGCCTCCGGCGGACCGGACTCCTGCAGCCCGGGGGCCCCGAGGCCTTGCTCGACGCGACGGCTCCTCGGGGCGCGCGTCCGCGCTGCAGCGTGCGCGCGTCCCCCGAAGCAGCGCAGGCACCACAAGAAGGGACGGCACGGTGCCGCGCGGCGTCGGCGGAGCCGGGAAACAGATACGCTCCGGTGCTGACGCGCGTCCGGAGGAGCATCGATGGGCCCCGTCCCCGAGGGCAGTTTCTCGCCGGGGGTTCGAGAGAGCGGCCTCTATACAGGCCGAGGCAAGGCGAAAGAGCCCCAGCTGCCAAAAACACGGTGCTGGCCAGCGCGATCCCCCAGCAGTGCATTTCTGAGGATCTACGTTGTGCCATACATATACATACATACATACATACATACATACATACATACAGACAGACAGACAGACAGACAGACAGACAGACAGACAGACAGACAGACAGACAGACAGACAGACAGACACAGACAGACAGACAGACAGACATGCATGCATGCATGCATGCATGCATGCATGACACACACACACACATGCATGCATGCATGCATGCATGCATGCATACATACATACATACATACATACATACATACATACATACATACATACATACATACATACATACATACATACATACATACATATAGGTCCCAGCACGCACCATGCCAAGAAAAAAGGGGGCGGAAGGCGCGCGCTGCAACCGTAAAGGAAGAAGTGTGGCAGAAAGCTTGGTTGTGTGATGGAGAAGACAGGTGTGGAGTATCGGGTGGAGTGATGGGGACGGAGGGTGTGGAGTACCGGATGGTGTAGGAGATGGAGGGAGTGGAGTACAAGGTTATTTTAAAGTTCAGCTTGGGGAGGGAGCCTGTGGAGTATCGGGTGGTATGTTGATGACGGAGGGTGTTGAGTACTGGATGGTGTGTTGGAGACGGAGGGAGTTCAGTAGAAGGTTATTTTCAAGTTCAGCTTGGGGAGGGAGCCTGTGGAGTATCGGGTGGTATGTTGGAGACGGAGGGTGTTGAGTACTGGATGGTGTGTTGGAGACGGAGAGAGTTGAGTAGAAGCTTATTTTCAAGTTCAGCTTGGGGAGGGAGCCTGTGGAGTATCGGGTGGTGTGTTGGAAACGGAGGGTGTTGAGTACTGGATGGTGTGTTGGAGACGGAGGGAGTTGAGTAGAAGGTTATTTTCAAGTTCAGCTTGGGGAGGCAGCCCAGGGAGACTGTTGAGTACCGGGTGGTGTGTTGGAGACGGAGGGTGTTGAGTACTGGATGGTGTGTAGGAGACGGAGGGAGTGGAGTACAAGGATATTTTCAAGTTCAGCTTGGGAGGGAGCCTGTTGAGTATCGGGTGGTGTGTTGGAGACGGAGGGTGGTGACTACTGGATGGTGTGTTGGAGACGGAGGGAGTTCAGTAGAAGGTGATTTTCAAGTTCAGCTTGGGGAGGGAGCCTGTTGAGTATCGGGTAGTGTGTTGGAGACGAAGGGTGTTGAGTAGAAGGTTATTTTCAAGTTCAGCTTGGGGAGGGAGCCTGTGGAGTATCGGCTGGTGTGTTGGAGACGGAGGGTGTTGAGTACTGGATGGTGTGTAGGAGACGGAGGGAGTGGAGTAGAAGGATATTTTCAAGTTCAGCTTGGGGAGGGAGCCTGTGGAATATCGGGTGGTGTGTTGGAAACGGAGGGTGTTGAGTACTGGATGGTGTGTTGGAGACGGAGGGAGTTGAGTAGAAGGTTATTTTCAAGTTCAAAATGAAGTGAGAAAGTCTTCCAAAAATAAGCCTCAACATGAAGTCCGAAAATCGTAGGAATCACATATGAATTCATATATAATCTGGAGAAAGGAAGGGTCGTGATGCGTGCGGAGGGCTATATATATGGTGGAATCGATGTGGTGCAACAGATGTTATGCAATACATGTGCTGCAATACATGTGGAGCAACCTATAGTTTGCACCATACGTTGAGCAACCTACGTTGTCCAATACAGTTGGTGCAATATACGCGGTTGAATTAATACATGTCGCGCAAGCTGTATGGTACAGTCTTAGTGGCGCAAGCTATGTGGTGCAATCGATGTTGTGCCCTCCGTGTGGTGCAGTATGTTGTGCTTTCTACGTGGTGCAATAGATATTGTGCAACCCATGTGGTGCTAAATATTTGTGGTACAAAATATGCGGCGCAATCTTCGCGGTGCAATCTATGCGATACAATCCACCCCGCCAAAGTTGAAACTGTCAACTCCACTGATCGCGCAACCATCCCACCTGCAACATGGCTTGAAAAATCCATTCGGAGGCGATTGCGATGGCTGTGTGGCGCTGGCTGGCGCATCGCTGCGGCCGCGCTGACGCGCGCAGGATCGCGCGCAGAGCGGTCAGCTGGTTTGGCGCGACCAACGCGGCCGTAATGGCGCTGACCGCTTGCAGCTTCCCAGCGCGTCTCGCAGGCCGCGCTAACGCGCTGGCATTTTTTATGCGAGTCGCTGACTCGGGCGGGCGGGGCATCATGGCGACGTTGACAACGGCACATACGATGACGATAGCATCCATGCTGGTAGCTATGATGACAACGACGACGGCAAGGGCGATGACGGCGCCGATGTCGATCACGCCGATGACGATGATGGTGTCCACGTTTCAACGATGAAAGTTTTCGAAGGATTCGATATGCGCGCGCGGCCGACGGGCGCGACTGACCCGCGTGGTACTATTTGACACGGATCGTGCCACCCCAAAGGCACGCGCAAGGGCGTTCGAATGATTTCGAAACTCGCGCGCAAGAGGCCCGCTTGATCGCAACGGACGAACATGTTGAGAACAACGATGGGGTTCTAAAGATCTCGAAAGAGCGCGCGTGCAGACATTTTTGTTGGAAAAACTCGGGCTGCAGAGCAATGCGCTTTATGCGTGAACAAACTCAAGGTTTTTGAAGGATTCTAGCATGCGCGCGCGACGACGCGCGCGTGCGCACGTCGCCCCATATGTTGCAAAAGATGTTGAAAACTGTTGCTTGTTGGTATGCGGGCACGCGCGTATATCATTATTTGGCGATGATGGGTGGGGTGTCGATACCAGCCTGGCTGGGATGATGCACCTTCATACCTAGAATGACCGATGGGTCACAATCACATGTAAACTGTGCACATCCACAAGGGGAACGGATAATCCCAGCAGTGAAGGCGGTAGTTCTTCAATCCGTTCTAACAAGGAAAATGTACGTGAAACAATGTAGGGCGGCGACGAAGTAGCGACGAGACGGCGACGGCGGCCAGAGAGCCATCAGACCGAGAGGCAGGTTCAGACGACCAGGCGGCGACGGGGCGGCGACGGCGGCCACAGAGCCGCCAGACCGACGGACGGGCCCAGACGACGGGTGTCGACGAGGCGGCTTCAGGTTGGCGACGGCGGCCACGTAGCCGCCAAACCGACAGACGGACCCAGTTTTGCTCAATGGTAAAAAAGCGCAACGACAATAATCCCAGCCCAGGCGGACCCAAAACATTGAGTTTCTAGCCATATGCGTGGTGTTATGTATGTCGGGCGGCATATGTGGGGCAGCATGCGTGGAACGATGTAGGCGGCACATGTTATAGTGTGAAAAAAATGTTGTGCAATAGATGTGGCGTTATCGATGTGGATCGACATACGTGATATATTATATGTTGAACACCCGATGTGGTGCAAACTACGTGGTGTTGTCCACGTGGGGCGATTGATGTGGTGCAACCAACGTTGCGCATCCTACGCTGTGCAACTTACGTTGTGTTATCTACGTTGCGCCATATATGGTATGCGTAATACGTGGTGTAATGCGTGATGCAAGGTACGTTGTGCAAATTGCAGCGCATGTACTTTTCAATGTTCGTGGTACAATCTACGCGGTACAATTTACGGTTTGCCACTTATGTGGAACAGCTTACGTGGTGCCATATGTGGACCACGTGGTGCAATTCACCCTGCCGAACGTGAAATTGTGACCCCGCTGCCCACGCAACCACCCCACCCACACCCCCGCAACTAGGTTTGCAAGGCGCATGCGGCGGCGATTGCGATGACTGCTTGGCGCTGGTCGGCACGTGACTACGATTTCGCTTACGCGCGCAGGCCCACGCGCAGACCGATCAGCTAGTCTGGCGCTTCCGCTGGAAACGTCCAAACGCATCTCGCAGGTCGCGCTGGCGCGCGGGCACTTCAGTGCGAGCCGATGATTCGGGCGGGAGCGGTATCATGGAGACATCGACAAAGGCAGACAAGATGATGTTCGCAATGAAATGTCAACCCATCTGCTCGCGCAACCATCCCACCCACCCACCCGCAAGTCGGTGTGCAAACCCATGCGGCGGCAATTGCGACGAGTGTTCGGCGTTGGCTGGTGCATTTCTGCGGCCGCACTAGCCCGCGCATGCTCGCGCGCGAAGCGGCCAGCTAGTTTGGCGCGACCGACGCGGCTTCGGTGGCGCTGACCACTGGGCAATTCCCAGCGGGCATTTCAATGCGACTCGGCGACTTGAGCGGGAGCGGTATCATGACAACGTCGACAATGGTAGACACGCAGATGGTAATAGCGATGCGGATGACGATGAGGACAACGACGACGACATCGCCAATGACGGCGCCGATGCTGATCACGCCGACGACGATGACGGCGTCCTCGCGTCGGTGATGAAGGCTTCGTTCGACATGCGCGCGCGGCCGACGCGCGAGTGGCCCGCAAGGTACTATTTGACATGGATCGTGCCCCACACCCGCCCACCATGCGCGCAAGGGCGTTCGAATGATTTCGACATGCGGCGCGAAGGGCACGCTTGGCAGCGTGTGCGGAAAATACTGAAAATCAGGAGTTGGCAGGAGCAGGAGCGCGGGCAATTTTACAATTGCTGATACAAAACCATGTCCATACATATATGTATATATACATGTATATATATATATATACACACATACATACATATATGTGATTTTCGGGGCCATCGATTTTGAAATCCTTACGGTACCAAAGGCTCTTGAAGGATTTCCGCATGCGCGCACGACGACGCGCGCGCGCACTTCGTCCCATTGTCAACTAGAGAGTATTACGACAGTACACGCGCAAGGGCGTTCGAGCGATTTTGACATGCGCGCGCGAAAGGCACGCTTGGTAGCATTTGATAAACAGGTTGGAAACCTATGATTCTCTTAAGACTCTGCAAGAGCGCGAGCGCAAGCTTTTGTGAAATTCTCATTGCGAAACCATGTGATTTATATGTTTTCGAGACACTCGATTTTGAAATCCTTACGAAACCTAAGATTGTTGAACGATTTCGGCATGTGCGCGCGACGTCGGGCGCGTGCGCATTTCTTCCCATTTGTTGCAAGAGATTCTTGAAAATTGTTGACTTTTAATGAACGAGTGCGCGCGCATAGT